AATGTCTGCTGCAGGTCAAGGACTGTGGTCTTCAATATAAATTGAAGCTTAACATCAAAAAGACAAAGATTCTTCCCATGGGCCAACTGAAAGCACCACAACAGAGAAGAAACCGAGGTTAACTCCACAGTCAACACTCTTGGCACCAGCAGGAGTCAGGGAATCAAAAGATAAACTGCATTAAAAAATATACTGTCGGGAATTTCTCCAGAATGCTAAAGAGCAATGATGTCAGTCTCAAGACTAAGATACACCTGATCCAGGTCATGATCTTCACAATCACTTGCTATGCATCAAAGAGCTAGACAATGAATAAGAATGACAAAACAAGAATCAATGCCTTTGAGTTGTGGTGTTGGAGAAGAGTATTGAACATGCATACCACAGACTTCCAAGAAAACAGGTTTGTCCTGGAGAGAGTAAAACCAATTTGTTCCTTAGAGACAAGGATTTTTAAGCTCCAACTCACATACTTTGGGCATGTTACCAGAAAGAACAGTGCTTGCAGACATCGTGCACGGAAGGACGAAGGGTAAGCACAAAGAGAGGTATACCTAGGAGAGATGGAATGACACAGTAATGGGATAATAAGGGTAGGGTGAGGAACAGTGAAACTGACTTAGGATATAAAAGCGTTGAGAGAAAGCAAATGCAATCAGAAACTTCTGTCTACCTTCAAAATGATACGCATACATTTAATTTTCATTGAACAATAAATTCACTATTCTAAAATTAAAAATATGACTACAAAGAGATAAAAACATTAAGTTTTTTCCCCTCTTCTGTAAAACTGGAAACAATTTTACTGTGTAACAATAAACAATGCCAATAATTTTTTAGAAAAATGGTATAAATATAAATTATTGTCAATTTTCTGTGAGATTATTTCACAATATGTATTACAATTCTATATACAAATTACTGTAGACCCATTAACATAAAAAATAAGGTTCCTCCCTATGTATGATATATAATGTTCACTGCAACATTGTTTCTAAAAGCTAAACAACCTAGTATTAGTGGATTAAGCAAATAAATTATATTCAGTATGATAGAAAGATCAAAAAATAGGTCTGGTGAGATTGAAATCAAGATGTCTTTTAAGATGTAATAAGTGAAAACAGTAAAATAAAAGAGAATGCACATTTCATGATGCTTTTTCTTCAAAGACCAAAACCCAAAGTATACACATTTTTTTTTACTTTAAAATAATTAAGGCAAAATAATCAGTGTTTTTTCTTGTAAATTAATGCTGGCATTAAGAAAATGGAATAGAGGAAAGATTCTTTCATCAATTCACTTCAGTGTAACTTTTCAAGCTTTATATAGTATTTTTCCTTTATGTCAACAGAAATCATTTGGTCCATTCACTGTTTTCCTTCTCCTGTACTTCTCTTATTAAAAAAAAAAAACATGAGCTGTCACGGCCCTCTGCCTGGGGCTAGCCGTCGCGGCCCCCTGCCCAGGGCGGGCTGCCCTTGGACCCCTGTCCGGGAGGGCTTCCCTCGGCCCTCTGCCAGGGGCAGGCTGCCCTCGGCCCCCGGCTCAGGGTGAGCCGTCGTGGCCCTCTGCCCGGGGCGGGCTGCCCTTGGCCCCCGGCTCGGGGCGAGCCGTCACGGCCCTCTGCCCGGGGCGGGCTGCCCTCGGCTTGGGGTGAGCTGTCACAGCCCTCAGGGTGAGCTCTTCAGTTCCCAGTTTGTGCCATTGTCCCCAGATTGACTCCTGGGTGGTGAAGGAGAAAAAAAAAAGAATGCCTAGGGTATCCAATGTTACCTAGGCCACCTTCTGCCACCCTCCCCCCCAGTAAACCTGAAAGCAACACCCTCAAAGCCCTTCTATTTGTAACTCACAAGTTTGTTCTCTCTAGGTTTGCTCCCTCCCTTTCCTATAGGTAACCTTAACTCTGAGTTTTACTCCAGAATTGACCCTGCACCCAGTGCCAGTGACAAAAAGGAAATACAACTGACAGCTAAGGAAGCAAAGGAGGATGGAGCCTCTGGGTTCAACCAGCCACCCCCACTGGACCAACCTGGGAAAACACTTTGCAGTCCAGAGGGGAGCAAATGACAGGAAAATATCTTCTAACAGAGCAAGAAGGCAAGCAGCTTTATTAACCCAAGACCACAAGTAAGGTGACAAAGCGTCCTCCCTTCCCCCCTTTACATCTACGCCCCTGTTCAGCATGAAGAAGCCAGAGAGTCGGCATCCAATTCCCAAATCAATAAGACAGTTGGTTTAATTACCATTGGAAAATGCTTGTCATTCCTCTGTAGTGTCTGGTCCCCTCTGGACCCTCATCATTTCCTTCACCTGCTCCCCCCACCGACCAAACTGTGCAACTGCTCTGCAACTGCATCCTGGCCCATCCTCACCCTTCTGCCCCCAACCCTCACCTCCTTGTACCCCAAATATGTTTTTCCCAATTAAAAAAAAAACCCTGCCAAAGAGCCTCAGGTGCACAATGTGTAAAGCTCTCAGCTGCTAACCAAAAGGTCAGCAGTTCAAACCAACCAGCAAAGGGGAGGAGAAAGATGTGGTTGTCTACTTTTTTAAGAATTATAGCCTTAGACAGTTTGGTAGTTCCTCAAAAAACTGAATAAAGAAATCCCATATGATCCAGCTATTTCACTGCTAGGAATATATCCCAAGGAATTTCTATATGAACAGAGAAACTTTCCAGAAAAGAGCCTCTCCTAGCAACATGTTCAAAGTATGTGAGACAAAGCTTTATCATCTTTGCTTCCAAGGAGCATCCTGGCTGCACTTTGTCCAGGATATATCTATTTGTTCTTTTGGCTGTTTATGGGAAATTCCATACTCTCCTCCAACACCACAGCTCAGGCATCCAATCTTCTATCATCCTTATTCACTGCCCAGCTTTCAGATACATACCAAGTGACTGAAAAGACCATGGCTTCAATCAGACACAGCTTAGTCTTTAAACTGACATCACTGCTCCTCAGTAATTTGGAAAGGTCCCTGAAGGCAGACTTGTCCAACACAATACTTTTCCTGATCTCTTCACTGCTAGTATCAAGGCTGTTAACTGTGGATCCAAGTAAGATGAAATTGTTGACAATTTCAATCATTTGCCCATTTGTCACAATACTGCTTATCAGTTTAGTGTTAAGAATTTTTGTCTTCTTGATGTTGAGAAGCAATCCATATTGCTGTGGTCTTTGATCTTCTGTAGCCAGAGTTTCAAGTCCTCATCACTTTCAGCAAACAAGGTTGTGGTATCTGCATAATGCAGGTTGTTGGTGAGTCTTCTTCCAATCCTATAATTCACATATACGCTAATATTCCATCATTAAAGAGTCCTATAATAATTCTTAACAATAATATAATCAAAGTCCAAATCTATAATCAAAATATATTTTTAAAGTCTATTTGTTGTCCTAAAGAAATACCCTCATATACTTATAAAATGTAAAAACCGCAAAAAAGCAGTTATAATTCTGTAAATTCTAGTAATCTTTTTTCTTTTTTTTTTTAATTTTTATTATTTTTGTGTGAGTGTACCGTCAAATCAGATCTGACTGGTACAGGAGGAGATTGACCCTCCTTCCCCGGCAGAGCATCTGGTGGATTCGACCGGTGCGCCTCTGCGATTGTAGTTGCAGCTCCTTACCACTAGGCCACCAGAGCTCCCCTTAATTCTAGTAATCTTAATCTGGCTTAGTTTGAATGTGGGGATCAAAATAAACTGTGGCTAACTCTGAGGGAAATGGGAATCCCAGGAACATCTGATTGTGTTTATGAAAAACCTATACTTGGACCAGGAGGTGGTCATCAGAACAGAACATGGAAACACGGCACGGTTCAAAATCGGGAAAGGTGTATGCCAGAGATGTGTCCTAGATCCATACCTTTTCAATCTATATACAGAACAGATCATTTGGGAGCCTGGGCTCTATGAGGAGGAGTGTGGCATCAGGATTGGAGGAAGATTCATCAATAATCTGTATTATGCAGATGACAAAAGCTTGCTTGCTTAAACTGAGAAGGATTCCAAATACTGCAGAAGGTCAAGGACTGCAGCCTTCAATATGGATTGAAGCTCAACCTCAAGGAAACAAAGATTCTCACCACTGGACTGATGGGCAGTATCATGACAGATGGTGAAGAGACTGAGATTGTTTACAGCTCTAGTTTGCTTGGTTCAACACTCTTGATACCAGAAGAAAGGAAATGAAAAGACAAACTGCATTGGGAAGTCTGCTATCAAGGACTTCTCCAGAATAATAAAGAGCAATGAAGTCCATCTAGAGACTAAAGGTGTGCCTGATCCAGGGCATAAATTTCGCAATAACTTGCTAAGCATCAGAAAGCTGGACAATGACAAGGGATGACAAAAGGAAAATTGATGCCATTGAGCTGTGGTTGGAGAAGAATACTGAATATTGCACTGACTGCTAGGAAAACAAACAGGTTCATCCAGGAGAGGGTGAAACCAGGTTGTTTCTTGGAGGCAAGGATTCTGAAGCTGCGTCTGACATACTCTGGACATACTGCAAGGAGGAAACATAAGAGAAGAAGATCCTCGATGAGATAGACTGATTCAGTGACTGGGGTAATGAAGGTAGGTATGTCAGAGACAATAAGGTTGGCACAGGATAGAGGAGGTTTCAGAGCTACTGTACACAGTTTTTTTATTGTGTTGCAAGTGATTTGATGGTGCATAACACCAAACAATAATAGGATCAACATTTCATAGGAAAAAAAACCAACTTTGGATAAAAAGGTACTCAGTAATACCCTAACATTCAAGATATAAACTGAAAAATACCCTAGCCTGAAAACATCATGCCCTGTATATACATAATAATTTAAATCTATTAAGTAACAAAATAAGACCAAAACACAGACATACAATAAAAACCTTTCTCTAAAAATGTTTAAACACACACACACACACAAAAATGTTTAAACACACACAAAAAATGTATACACTTAAAAGAATTACTTAAAAAAAAAAAAAAAAGAATTACTTTAATCACCTCCTGCAAAGGGAATTTCCAGTGTTCTGAGCTTCTGAGCCTGGACAATGATGACTGAACGTGAACTTCTTCTGGTTTTGCATTTACCATCTTAGTTATCCGAAGCTAGAGTAAAAAAAAAAATAACCAGTTTAAGTCAACTGCAAATTATAGAGCTGAAATCAGGTAACAACACCATTATATTACCCTTCATTAACAATTTGCTATTTGTTTTCAAAGTTTTCAATTCAATTTGTTTTCAAAGTTTTCAATACAATGCTTAATTTATAGGTATTAAATGAAATTATATAAGAGAATATACAACGAAAATATTTCACCGAGTAGACAAAGATTTATGAAGTATACTTTCATAAAGTATTACTTCATTAAGTATAGCATCCTAACTCTTCTCTTCCATATAGTTCCTTTTCTTTCTAATCTTCCAATGTTATCTCAATGGTTGTCTAATAAGCAGAATGGCTATAATATTTAAAATATAACAGTGGCACCCCACTACTTCTATATAAATGCTTTATAATCAGGTACAACTATTTAAATGGGGGAGTAAGCAAGGGGGAAGAAACTAAGTCAAGCTTTATACACAAACAGAAACAATTGGGGAGGGTTGACAAGAATGGGCCACGAGAGAGGGATCTAAGATTACCGAATGGAAAGGTACAGTGAAAGTAACAAATGAGACATAAATAATGGCAGTTACAACTGTAAGTAATGTTATTAAAAAAAGGTGTATGAATGAAAATTAAAAACAATAAAAAATAGTTTTAATTCCTTATGAATCAGGGTGAAATCTCTCTCAGGGACGAGTGATAGGGAATGGCAAAGGACACACTTGACAAAGGAGATTAAACTGGTTTTAACAAGCACTGTGGCAAGGGGACAAATAAAACAGACTTTCAAGGAACATTCAACCTGAATCCTTCTGATGATATGGAGATTTTTTTTAAGTATTTCTTTGAGTTTATTAGGTTTAATTTGTTTTATTTGTTTGTTTGTATATAAAGGATGCTCATCTGGATGATAATATAATTATGATAAAAACAAAAGGGGAGAGTTGTAGGAAGCCAATACCAAATATTTGTAATAAACTGAATGTTATTTAAATTTAAAAGAAAATAAAATTTTTTAAAAAGTTTTTAAGTTACCCATTACTGTGTGTAACAATAACTTATTCTCTTTTATTGTTATGTTGTATAATGAATGATACATGAACGTACTACAGTACATTTCAACCAGTATATGACTGCTAAGTTGAACAGTTTCATTTTGTTTTTATCTGTTTTCAAGTGAGAACTAACTCACAACTGACCCTCCAGTGGGTTTACAGAGGCTGAAAATCGCATGGTAGTTGACTTCCCATCTTTCTCCCATGGAGCAGTTGATGGATTAGAAATGTGTACTCTTGTCCTTACAGTACAGCTTCTTACCATTAGACCACCAGAGCTAGGACTCTTAAAAATAAAGTTCATGATTTTGTAAAAGAACAACAAAAAATCTCTTACAAATCACTTATATACTACAAAGTCTTACTGCCAACCACACTGAGTTACTAAACATTATTCAAACATGCCATTATCACCTTGTTTTTAGACCTCTGCATATACTGCTGCTTAAACCTGGAATATTTATCACCCTATCTACTCTTGGTGAAGTATTTCGGATTCTGCTGAAAATTATTCCCTAATTCACAAAACAGCCATCCCCATACTAAATCATTATTTTCTCTATATATTAATATTTGGTACACTTTTACTCCCTACTCATATTATACATGTCATACTATAATAAAATTAGTTGTCTCATTCATCTATATTCTTCCCATTTTGGAGCTCCCTTAAAGAAAACCAAAACAAAATCTGTTACCACAAGTCAATTTGACTCAAAGAGCTCCTATCGTAGTTATCTTTTTATATTTGAAGTGTGCAGTTGCTAATAAGCTGAATAAGTGAATGAATGAATGAGAACGTACTAAGGTTTAAACTATTTGTCCAAAATTTTAAAATTTAACTTTTACATTGAAAGAAATACATCATCAATGATTATGCATCAAGTTTGGGATACAACAGGTAACATACAACAAATGATTATGCATCAAGTTTGGGATACAATAGGTAACATACAACATACAACAACATTTCAACTCTTAACCAGTAATGACCCATAAAATTATTTCTATGACACAGGCCATGGTCTTTGCAATCACTTGTTATGCATCAGAGAGTTGGGCAATGACTAGGGAGGATAGAAGGAGAATTGATGCC